AAAAAAAAAAAGAAAAGAAAAAAATTGAGGTAAAAGGATCACTTGAGCCCAAGTTAGAGGTTGCTGTGAGTTATGACACCATAGCACTCTACCCAGGGTGACAGCTTGAGATTCTGTCTCCAAAAAAAAAAGCAAAAACCCCTGAAAACATCATGCTAAGTGAAGTAAAGAAACAGAAAGACAAATACAGTAGGAGTCTGTTTATATGGGGTAGCAAGAAGAGTGAATTTCATAGACAGAAAGTAGAGTAGAATTTAGTAGGAGCTGTTGAGGTGATTGAGGAGGCACTGTTTAATGGGTAAAAAGTTTCTACTGTGGAGGGCGAAAAAGTTCTGGAAATGGACAGTGGTGATAGTTGCACTAATGTCACTGAATTATACACTTAAAAGTACATAAATAGTAAATTTTATGTTATATATCTTTTACCACAGTAAAATATCACCAAAGGAAGAAAAATGAAAGAAAAAAGAAGCTAAAAAGTTTTGCACCCATTTTCAAACCTTACTGTATTTGGTTCTATTTTTCTACCTGTTTCGTGGCTGCTTCATCCCTCACAGAGAGCTTCTTAAGAGGTAGTCGACTTTAGTGTCTGGAGTTGGGCTGGTGGATGTGGTTAGGTCAAAATTCATTGGTTTTGCTACAAGTGTTTAAGGAAGAGTTGAGAAAACCACACCCAGTAGGTTTTTTTTCTGACATGAATTTGCTACAAATTAGGGGGAGGAGGAGGGAGAGGTAGTTTAAAAGTGGGGAGAGGTAGTTTAAAAGTGGTGCTTGACTTCCCGTCCAATGAGGAAAGCATGCTTTTGTGGCAAATTGAAAGGCTGGGAATCAAGGGTGATGAAATGCAGACCTTCCGTCCCTCACTCTGTTCCTGATTTCTGGTTGTGGGAATCTGTTCTGAATCCAACTGCAAGTGGAAAACCCATCCTTGGCTGAGCAGCCTGGGAGACTCTCCTGCCAATCCCCCAAATGTGCTGCTGAAACTTTGGCCCTGTGAGGCTGAAGCTAGGGCTGCCTTCCCAAGATCTGTGCAGCTGTCAAGGTGGCTGGGATGGGACTGACTGGCCTCCTCACTGCATTTTGGCAGTGACCTTGAGACCAGCCAGCTGACTGTGGCTACGCTGGTTCTCTGCTGTCACTGTTGCAATGCCCAGAGGCTAACGGGAGGGAGACTCCTGGTCCTGCTCTTTCCCAGTGTCTGGCAGATGCCAATTATGGTGCCAGCTCTCCCAGTGCCTGCCACCCACTTGGCATAGGGGCATTCCAGATATGTCAAGCAGAGATAGTGGCTTGTTTTACCCCTAGCTTAAGTCCCAATATCTGGGAAGTGGGCGGCTCTGTCGGATGGCCAGCCAGGCTGGTTTGGGACAGACTTCACGTGAGGTCCTGCTAGGCAGCTCTGCTGAGAGATGCTCAGTGACAATTGATGATCTTGAGAGAGAGAGGAGCCAAAGATGCCCTTTCCCTGCTAAAATGCATGAGTTCAAGTTCTCCTTCTATTAGGGCAGAGATTTCCTTGAGAGAGGAAGGTCATCAGAAATGCCCACAACAAGAGAGAAATCTTTTCTCTTTAGCCACTCAGAGTGGCAAGTGTATTTTGAAAACTCCTCCCCCTTGTCCTCATCCTGTCCTTTTCCTTTTAAGTGGCTTTATTGTTATTTTTTAATCAGACGTTGTCATTGGACATTTATTGACAGAAATCAAATCACTGTGTTTCTGGGCAAAGCGCCTGCTGCAAAGAGGTGTGGTTCCTGAGGAATGAGACATGCAGTCCAACAACTGAGCCTACACTGTCCTCACATAACCTCCCTGCCTTAAATATCGCCAATATTTAGCCTTGCCTTATAAAGTAAAAATGCACAATACCTTCCAGAGTTTCAGCAAGCCCAAATGCCCCCTTAGGCTCAGTTATATCTCCTGTACATTGGAGGCAGAACAGCGCACCCCTACCTTATGCAGCCCTGCCCTTGGAGCCACCAAGAGGTTACTAATCAGGGAGACTCCGCCATCGATCTGATGGTGGTGACCTGGGGGATTTGTGTGCATTGTTTTTGCTGAAGCCTCCTGTGATTTCGGCGCGACCAGATCCTCTGCAGCGAACTCCATGTCGCAGCTTGTGGCTGCCTGTGTCCTGTGGTGAGAGCCCAGCCGCACAGGAGATCCTTTGTCTAGGAAGGGCTAGGCTGAGAAGATCACTTTGGAGTTGCTAAGCTCTGCATTGCCATTGGCTGCACTCTTTGTGGGGCTGTTTTTGCAAAAGGCATGCCCAGCACGTCTACAGTGCTGGCAGGCCGGGGCTGCCTTTAAACACCATGATAATAATACCAAAAAGCAGTTTGCAGAACTGTTCCACTGTAGAGGCTTCCTCTGCAGAAGCAAGCAAGATGGCTACCTCGTGGGCTTCGCTGTGAAGAATGCAGAGGCTAATTAAGACAGACTTTAAGGGGAAAAAAGGGTATTTCCCTACTTCATCTTTTTGCAAGAATTTTTTTCAGTGACTTTTAAAGTATACATTTTACATGAGCTCTGTAGGTTCTGCCTAGCAAACATGTTGATGATTTTAAATGGTATAAACAGTTTTACAGAGAAATAGCCAAAAATTTTTGGGGGGGTGGGAGCTAATTTTATTTCTTAAACAGAGGCTCATTTTGCAATTTGATTTTTTTTTTTTTTTTTTTTTAGGTTATAAAGGAAAACAAGAGGCCCCAGAGGGAAAAGAAGCCCAAAGTTTTAAAGGTAATCAGCTGTTGATTAAATAATATGTAATTATTTTTCCATTTCATATAGTATTTTTCTATCACTTGGGGGTAAATTTGAAGTACAGTGGATGTTCACTGTCCCAGATTTTTAGTAGATAAATGAATTCTCACCCAACCAAAGTGTTTACTCTCTTTTTTTTTGGTGGGCTGCATAATGTGCATATTGGCATCCTTTATTTTCAACTCCACACAAGTCTGCAGAAGGAAAAGTTTATATGCAAAGTGTTGTGAATAAAATTTGCTTTTCTTTATAGCTCTTTTTGTAGCATCTGCATTTGTGGTGTGGCACCAGTGTGTAAACTTAAGCTCTTTAGGAGAAAGGCACTATTTGAAGTTGACAGCTATGATCCATTGTGATTTTAATAGGCTGTCCATTAAGTGCTGTTTTTAAATGTGTGATTTTTTTCCTCCAAACCAAAAACAAAAAAGGTCCTTAGATATTCTAGTTCATCTTAAAATGTATAAGTCATTGAGATTGCACAGCCAAATTACAATGGTTTGATCTCCCATTTCCATTATATCATCATTAATTTTGGCATTCATGCAGCTATAGGAATCTACATGTTTTCTTTATTTTCTATAGATGGCCTGGTGACTATTTGGTAGCAACCTAATTCAGTTATAAGCTAGCAATCTGTAGTATGAGATTTGTACAGTATTTAAAAGGGTTAATTTAAAAGCATATGTCATCACTAAAAGTTCAAGGCTAGCTTTCCTGTAGCACATAGGTAGGTGCTTATGTGTTTAAAATTTCCAGCCATATATTGCTACTGTAAGTGTAACCAACATTTGCAAGGTACCTTTGAAATTGAAAATGAAATATTAAGCAGTAAAATGACTCATCTTTAAAATTATGTGGTATTACATTTAATTTAAAACATTTTAATCTCATCATAGCTTTTCTTTTGCAAATAAAGTTTTAACACTCAAAGAGGAACATGTTGAACTATAAATGTGGCAGAATTTTGTCTTGTTTCCCCAGTTGTGTTAACTTGAAAATGTTGACATGGAGGACCAAACCTTGAAAGGCATTCACATTTGTCTGACCACCTTGAGTTTCTGCTTCCTATACATACCCAGCATTTCCATGTACATTTTTCATCAACCAGCAAGTATTTGTTTAATATCTACCACAGAGCAAAGTGCTAAGCACTGTGAAATGAATGAAATTGCTTGGCACAAATTCTCACTGGGCCTGGACAAATAGAATAGTACTTATTTTCAAAGTAAATTACACCCTCTTCTATTTTTCTTCTTCATATTGATCCATCCATTTCATTTTACTCCCTTCCTCCAACATCTATAGAAGCGCCTCATTAAAAGCTCTACTTACAATCCCTAATCTTCTACACTTTCTATATTGGGTATGTCCATCTCAGGCATTTTGTCTTAAGTAAGAAATAGCTTCAGTCTAGGGCGGTGCCTGTGGCTCAGTGAGTTAGGAACTGGCCCCATATACCAAGAGTGGCAGATTCCAACCCAGCCCTGGTCAAATGGCAACAAAAAAAATAGCTGGGCGTCGTGGCGGGCACCTGTAGTCCCAGCTACTTGGGAGGCTGAAGCAAGAGAATCGCCTAAGCCCAAGAGCTAGAGGTTGCTGTGAGCTGTGATGCCAGGGCACTCTACTGAGGGTGACAAAATGAGACTCTGTCTCAAAAAAAATAAATAGCTTCAGTCTTACTGTTATAAATGGCTCTCAAATTTCGTAAGGAGGGGCAGAAGGAAGTGGTAGATTACATGGAGAAACTAATACAGATTAAGCCTGGTAGCTAAATCTTCTCCCACCTTTGCTAGGAAGTACAACTGGACTTGGGGAATGCTATTTAATTCTATGTTTATTTAGTTAGTCTGTAGGTATCCTGTCACCTGCATACATTTCAGAAGTCAATATACCATGTGTTCCTTTTTGAAATCATGGCAGTGAACTCTGACTTCTTTTTTTTGAGATAGAGAGAGGGAGTCTCAATCTGAAGGCCTGGGTACAGTGCCACATGTAGAGTATGGTGGCATCCTTGTAGCTCACTACAGCCTCAAAGTCCTGGGCTCAAACAGCTCTCCTGCTTCAGCCTCCTAAGTAACTGGGACTACAGGCATGCACCACTATGCCTGGCTAATTTTTTCTATTTTAGCAGAGATAAGGTCTCCCTCTTTCTTCAGCTAGTCTAGAACTCCTGAATGTAAGCAATCCTCCTGCCTCAGCCTCCCATAGTGCTAGGATTATAAACATGAACCAATGAGCCTAGCTACTGACAATTTTTTTAAAGTGCCTGTGGGGAGCCAAATTTCATTTAACACAGCAATCAGAACTGAACTGTTGTTGCTGACTTTATTCTATAGTTAGTAATTATTGCACAAGAGCAGAAAAATGTTTTTGTTTTTGTTTTTTGAGACAGAGTCTCAAGCTGTCGCCCTGGGTAGAATGCTGTGG